CTCTCCTAGGTCCTGCCGGCCCCCTTTCCATGGGTGCTGAGGGCACTTGCCCCGTCTTGGGAGGTGGTGTGTGCGCGTGAGGGAATGATGGGTGGTGCCTGCCTGTTTTTTCCAGGTCTGATCGCTGTCTTTGAATACCATAAGAAGAAAAGCTTTCCGAATATGTACAGCCTGCATAGCTGGTGTGGAATTGCTGCTTTTAGCTTCTACTTGCTACAGGTGAGCTGCAGGGCCAAGGAGTGGGCAGCTCCTAGGCCTTCTTTCAGGCCATCTTAAGGGGAGGAGCCTTTGCTTGGTGGCAGAGCATCTGCTTGGTGTGCAGAAGGGGCCACGTTCCATCCCCAGCTTTCCCCAGTCAAAAGGGTTAGATAACAGATGATGCGAAAGAGCTCCACCTGAGACCCTGGAAAGTTGTTGCCTGTCTTGAGTAGACGAGATGGGCCTTGATGGACAACACAGGGATAAGTGAAGCTCTGGAAGAAAGATACTGACAATGTTTAGGAGTTTCCATTTTCTCTAGAGATGTAAAATTTCCGGAAATTTTGAAGCTCGGAAATTTTTTTTGGAAAATTTGAAAAAAATGCTACATTAGCACTTCTTTTTTCTTTTCCAGATTGAACGTCATTCTGTTACTTTAGGAACATAAAATATGACTATGGACATTTTCACTTGGCGTGAAATTATCACAAGTGGCATATTGAAAATATAGTGTATCCAAACAATTATTACAAACAGAATACCCACCCACATGCAAAAACAAAACTGAAACTTTTTGATTTTCTTCTGACAATCGCACCTCCTAAAGGAAGAAATGCATCTTGTTCTTGCATTGGAGAGTTCAGTTTGTAACCTAGGACTTGCTTGTCCCCAGTGCACAGAAATTACATCAATCTGCTACCATATATATATATATATTAGAAATGATTTGGAAAATATTTGAACACCTGGTGTTCAAATATTTTATTCATCATGTTAAAATAAAACGTTCCGTAATCAATTTTTTCTTTTCTTTTTTCAATTTTTCCAATTTTTTGGAAAAAAACAAAAAAGGCTTCAGGAAAAAAACCGTTTCCCCCCCGAATTTTTCCGGTTTTTTCCCGGGCCTTCACATCTCTAATTTTCTCTGTCTTGTATTTGAAGGGTACCCACTGCCATTTATGTCCGTCCCAACTAAAAATCTGGACATGATGAAGCCTTCTGGAGTTCTAGCCAGGTCCAGGTCTAGCTGGCCGCAACAGCAGTGCTGCCACGTCAGTGCCCGCAGGGCCCAAACCCAGCTCCATCTTCCGCATCACATTTAGTCCTTCAGTGTTCTCCGCTGAGGGTTTCCTGGAGGCATCGGGTGCTTCTGGGCATGCAGTTTGTGTCCGTGCGTCCTATAGCTGCCAGGGAGCGACAGCTCTGGTGGGCCCTGGTTGCCCCACAGGACTCTCAGAACCCTGAAACATTCCCAGGCCAATGCAGCTCTTCGGCCTGCCCCTGTTTTCTGCAGGTCACGCCTTGGTGAGAGTAGAGATGCTAGGGAGAAACTCACAGAGGCTCTTTTGAGGTTCTCGGAGTAAGACTCCTGGAGGCTTTCTGTCCTGGCTTTTTCAGGGTTTGCCCATCTCTAGCCATGACTTCTGGAGTCATTTCCCAGTTCTTGAAAGGAGAAAGAAATGGTGGGGAGGAGGGGGTGGGGAAATGGAGCTCCAGCCTTGCTGTGGGTAGGTCGGCCCCAGCTGATCCTTGGCCACAACTGAGGCTGTGCTGCCTCTTTGTCCACTGACTCTTGAACAAGACCTTCATGAGGCTGTCTAGAAGAAGAAGAGATGGGATTCATACCCCATGGCCCTTCACTACCCAAAGGAGTCTCAGAGCGGCTTACAAACGCCTTTCCCTTCCCCTCCCCACAACAGACACCCTGTGAGGTAGGCGGGGCTGAGAGAGCTCTTCACAGGAACTGCTCTTTTTTCAAGAACAGCTCTTATCAGAACTAGGGCTTGCCCAAGGTCATCCAGCCAGGTGCAAGTGGAGGAGTTGGGGAATCAAACCTGGTTCTCCCAGATTAGAGTCCTCTGCGCACTTAACCATGACACCGAACTAGGACAGGGGGCGCTTCCTTCTGGGCTCATGGCAAGGCCAGTTAGTAGGGTGCCTGGAGGTGAGGATGGAGGCAGATGTTGAGGGCTCTTCAGGGCCAGCACCTTCTGTCTCAGCCCTGGTAGCTTCCAGCAGTTGATGTCTTTATTGACCTTCCTCACTGAGATTCAAGGCAGATTGCAATGAAAAACAGAGCAATCAGACAGCATAAAGACATGCTTGCAGTAAACCATGCAGTAGATCTGGGATTAACCGTCACGGCCCTAAACGGACTGGGACCAACGTACCTTTGGGACTGCATCTCCTGGTATACCCCCCCAAGGAGCACTGTGCTCAGCTGAGGAAAATCTTCTGGAGGTCCCTGGCCCCGAAAATGTCTGGCCGCCCTCAACCGTTTCATCCCTGGTTCTGACCTGGTGGACCTCTCTGCCAAATGACCTCCGTGCCCTGCGGGATCTCGTTCAGTCCCTCGGGGCTTGTGAGGCAGAGATGCTCCGCCAGGCCTGTGGCTGAGGACAGCGAAGTTTCCTAAGTAGCCTGGCCTCCTTTCTGTTCACTCCCTCCCTTGAAGTAAGGGAATTTGGTTCTGGACGCCATGGAATGTGACTTCTGAGCTTTTCCTTCCTTCCTCTCCCAAGTGGCTGCTTGGACTGGTCTTTTTCCTCTGCCCTGGAGTTTCATTCTCGGTCCGCAGCAGATACAAACCGCAGCACGTGTTCTTTGGGGTCTTCCTCCTCGTCCTCTCTATCGCCACAGCACTCCTGGGGATCCTGGAACTGCTGCTCTTCAAGATAAGGCAAGTGCTTCCCTTCCTGCCAGTGTTCTCAATCGGGTCGCTCAGTTTCTCTCTCAGCAAGTTCAGCATTCTGGATGGAGAGTGATGGCGTATCAATACTTGCCAGGGAAGGCTCTCTTAAGGCAGGCGTTACGTGTTTAATCTGTTTAGCAGTGGCACCATTTGCCGGTATGTTCTTTGCCTTCTCCATGGAACGATTTGGTTTCCGAAGTGGCTCTCATCCAGCTAGGCATGCTTGGCTGGATTATCAGCCCAAGCCCCACTTTCCCTGACGGGCCTCTTTCTTGTGGCAGGGCTGCGCGAGATGTGTGCCGTCATTGTCCAGCAGCCCAAGTGCCTGCCCGAGCAAAGGGCGCCCCGAAGGCAGGAGGGGCATTGCAAGAGCCGGCTGCCTTGGCCAGTGTGCAGAGCCCCTTTAATGTGGGAGCCCCTCTTCCTCTCTGCCCTTGCATGCGACCAGTTAAACAAGTATAAAGCCAACAGTCGTGATAGTCTGACCCACAATCAAACAGTCATAAGACTTATAAAGAAATCTGTTTATGTATTGCAGTCTAAAGCACTACAACATGATACACAACTCAATAGAAAATCCTTGAACCAAGGTACATAATCTCAAGGTACATAATCAACGTCGTCTCTGGATTGTGGCTATTAGCCACAAGGTATAGATAGGGACTCTGGGGCAAGTGATGCTCTGTCATCTTGGTGGTTGGGGGGGGTCAACAGTGGGAGGGCTTCTAATCTCCTGGCCCCACTGGTGGACCTCCTGATGGCCCCTGGTATTTCTGGCCACTGTGTGACACAGAGTGTTGGACTGGATGGGCCTTTGTCCTGATCCAACATTGGCATCTCTTATGTTCTTATGATTACATAACAACATTTCAAAAAACGGATCTTCTTCAGGAGATACTATAGTGGTGCCAAAGCTCTCAGTTTCATAAATGTTAGACAACAAGTCTTAAGAATATTAAATTCAGATAGGACGCTGATCTCAATTAACATTCAAGCTCAAAATATGCTGCTGTGTTTCTACTGGATTTGAAACGTTGTTATGTAATCCGGAGACGACGTTGATTATGTACCTTGGGATTATGTTCCTTGGTTCAAGGATTTTCTATTGAGTTGTGTATCATGTTGTAGTGCTTTAGATTGCAATACATAAACAGCATTCTTTATAAGTCTTATGACTGTTTGATTGTGGGTCAGACTATCACGACTGTTGGCTTTATACTTGTTTAACTGATTGGGTCGTGTGTGTCCAGGTTTTCTTGCATGCGGCCAGACCACCTGAGGCAGCCACATCATCTTTACTTGGATCTCTCACTGTAAACCCCTCCCTTGATGGCCCCTTCATTTCTAACAGGGAACAAAATTGATTCGCTCTTCAGCCATGGTTCACACTAAAATTCGTAAGGACTTTCCCCCGAGCCTCTCTCTTCCCCAGAGGACTCAAGACAGATAGTAGGGCAATGGTGGCGAACCTATGGCACGGGTGCCAGAGGTGGCACTCAGAGCCCTCTCTGTGGGCACGTGTGCCATCGCCCCAGCCAGGCCCAGACCATCATTAAAGTGTCGAATTCTCTGCCAAATAATTTTAAGTCAATGAAAGCCTTTGGGATTGCTTTCCTTACTTTGTTTGGATCATCTTAAGTTAATGTATGGGTTGTTTTTTCTAAAGTAAAACCTCAGGATTCAGGTTAAATTGCCGTGTTGGCACTTTGCGATAAATACGTGGGTTTTGGGTCGCAGTTTGGGCACTCGGCCTCTAAAAGGTTCGCCATCACTGTTGTAGGGGGATTGTCCTGGCACTTTAAATGGCAAGCCCAGTTGCACTCTTCTGTGGGTAACGAAGCAGCACCACGGGACCACCCACTGGCGCCCGGGGGGGGGGGTGAGGAAGTGCTGAGTCACCCCGGGAAAGGCAGCCTTGGTGTGGGCAGGGTGAGCCTGAGGGAAGCGTTTCAGTCGCTCTCCTTTACCCTCTCTTTGGCTCTCCTCCCGGCTCTTAGCTGCCCGAGACCACCCAGCCGCCCACCTCCAGGGCTGGTCTGAGCTCCACCTGGTCCAGCCCCCCACTCAAGGCAGCACCTGGGAAACTCCCCAGGAGGGAGACCCCACCCTCTCGCAGGGCAGCAAGGCCCCGGCCTCTCCTGACCCTCCCCTCGCCGGCTGGACAGGAGCAGCGTCCTTGGGGTGAAGGTGGGGCCAGGTGTCTCTGTGGACTCTACTCATCCCATGGGTCCCCGCACTCCCTTGAGGAGCCCCAAGGGTGGACCACACCACCACCTGGGTCGAGATGTGCACCAGCCTCTCTTGGGGAGGTCCAGGCTCTGGACAAGGGCTCTCTCCCTTGGGGGACTTCCCAGAGACACAAGACAATATGCTGTAGGTGAACCAAGAGGACCCCACCCCCACCACCAAAAAGCACCTTCCCACCCACAGGTATCATTGCTATATATATTTTCTTAATACATTGAGAGGCTGCCCTCTCCTCCTTGAGTTCTGAACTTACTTGGCACTGTTGTCAATACAGGCAAATGCATACAGAATTTTAAAATGCTCCTTGATTAGGTTTGTTTGTTTGCTTTGTGGGAAGGGGCTGTTCTAAGCTGCCTCCTTTCCTTCTGCAGAGACAGCTACAGTTCGCTCGTCCCTGAAGGCGTCTTGGCCAATGTCTTGGGCCTCTTGCTGGTGGCCTTTGGGGCCGCTCTGGCCTACATCCTGACCCGGGATGGGTGGCGAAGAACCCCCTTGGCCGAGGAGCAGGCGCTCTCCATGGATTTCAAAACCCTCACGGGGGGAGAGAGCCCGGCAGGCTCCCCCTGAGGCCACCCCCCCCCCCGCGGCCTGTGTGGGTGGCTCTGTGTGAGTGCGCCTCCGTGTTGCCAACTGTGGTGCCGTCCGTGCTTCTCGGGCATAAGCAGCCCCCTCCTTGACAGCCGCACAGCGCAGCTTCCGCTTTCCTGCCCTTAGCTGGTCACTCAGTAAGGAGCAGGGATCTAATTCAGAGGCTGCGCAAGGGAGGCTGGAGCTGTCTTTACTGCTGCTTTTGTGACTCTGGACTCTGTGCCATGTTCCCAGGGGGTGGGGAGGGTTCCGGAGGCGGGCGCCCTCCCCCCAGTTCTGCCTTTGTCAGTCCCTGTGTGTCTGAGTGTAACTAATCATTGGCTGGCTTGCAAGAGATTTCTCTACTCAGTTCTAGAGGAGGGAGGGATAGGATCCAAAAATGGCTTTGGAAGGGAGGGGAAGGTAGCCAGCTCCGTGCAATTGGAAGCCATGTTGCTTATCGAGGTTTTTTTTGTTGTTCAGTCGCACAGTCGAGTCCGACTCTTTGCGACCCCATGGACCAGATCGAGGAATGGACCTTACAAAAATAAATTCTGGGTGCCTTTTGTCTCTCCCCCAGTGCCTGGGTCAAATGAATTTCTGGAATGTTAGCTTCTTGCCGAATAGATCCACATATTGTCACAACGACCAGGCTCAAATTGCCTTCATCTCTCTCTTTGACGGAAATTTGACTGATAATTTGCATGCATTGATTTTATTCTCTGGGAGCGACACTCCCAACAGAGATGAAACCAGACTCATTTGCTTTGCCTCTTTCATCTTCATGGGTGGAGGGACACCCCTATTAAACTTCCTAGAGGGTGTTAAAACCAGGCTTAGATGAAAAGGGGGGAGACAAATTTTCGTTCTGAAATCATATTAGGGAATTCTTTCCTGTGCCTAGTAGACTCAGTGACAAGATGTGCTATGTCGGGAGAGGTGTGCCGGAACACTAGAAATGTGCTATATAAATGTTAATTATGATTGTACATAAAATATTTATTTTTCCAGGAATTCCTTGAGAGTAGTTATTTTTCTTCAAAAGCACCACATAGTTATGTTTACAAAACCACCGACCTAAATATTATCAGAATGTAAATTTGGTTCTGGCTGGGATCTCTTGTACTGCTGGGTTGATTGAGCTTCAATAAATCGTTGGCGCAAGACCTGGACTCCTCTTGACTGGTTGGCTGCTGAAGTGACCCAAAACGCTCAGCCTGTCCCTGTGTGTCCTGATAAAGGGGGGGGGGTTATTTCCCCCTCTGAATGTGGGCTTGCAATCGAGTTGTGTTTTTCTTAAGGTGTCCCAAGCCCTGGGCAGGAATTTATCTTCGCCGAAGGCTTCAGTTCTGCTGGGCGCCTGTGCGGACCTCTCCCCCCTCCTGCTTCCCCTTCTACTTGTTGGATCTCTGCTTTGCCTGCCGGATCATTTGCCAAGATGTTGGCTCAGTGGCTTCTCCAGCTGAGGGGGAAATCCCTGTTCCTTCGTGCACGTCTCTGGGTCTCTCCTACACTGCAGCCTGCAGAGAACGCCACAGCCCAGAGGTGGCTTCAACAAGTGATCCTCATGTTTTAGATGTGGAAAACGTGACTGCCCTGCTCCAGCAAGGCCACGGCCCAGAAAACGAGCCCTGGCGTGAGGGGCGTGTGAGCCGTTAAGCCCTTGAGCCTTTGGCTTTGGGCCAGGGGGCGGCTGAACCCAGGAACGGGAGGGAGGTCTGCCTAGCAAAGGGTCGGTGGGCTTTGTGGACTGTGAGGCCAGAAGCCTTCCTTGTGGCCTTTTCTACACCACTGACTGCCATTAGTGTTGGACACAGTTGTCAGTACAACATTTCCAAGTGTTAACCATTTATAAATAAGTACATTTTTTTTCATACATACAGTTCATTGTACAGCTTACAATCTGTGTACAGTGGGAGAGGGAGGGGAGAATGCATTCTTTTTGAACTTTTTTCCACGTCTATCTCACAGCTCACATGTACAGACAATAAAACTCTGCTCAAGCAAGGACAGTGAAGGGAAAGAAGGAAGCTTCTTTCCTCTTATACAGGGGAGGCCAAGAGCCTCAGCCAAGCGCCGGGGTGTGTGCAACGGCCCCGCTGCAAAATGTCACAAACTGTGTTTTTTGTTTCAATATTATCGGGAAGAGAACGGAACATGCAATTGAATATTATACTGTACAGAGAAAGTCCTTTACATCAAAATTATAGAAAAGCAAAAAGAACTCATTTCCCCAGCAGGAGTCTTGAAGGAGGGCAAATGAGAGAGGCTATAATACAACAGAGAGGCAGGTGCTGCAGTGCTCAGTCAAGGAGCCCCACTGGAAGGGAGGGGAGGGGGAGATATGGCGCCACCCGAGTCCCACGCCCCATTCCCTGGGCTGCACCCGGATCCCCCACCCCAGTCCCTCGCACGCTGCTGCAAGGAGGGGATGGGGCCTGGCGCCGATCGGAGCCAGGCTGCTGCTGTTCTCTGGCAAACCTGGGCAGGGGGAGTAGCCATCGGGGATGCCTCTCGGCCCCTTGGCACCCCCATGCGAGTCTAATGCTGCACTTGGTGCCCTCAGGTGCCAGAACAACACAGGGACGGTCCTAAGCTAGCAGCCCTCGCCTTCTGCAGGGGAGAGCCAAAGTGGGGCAAAGAAGCCAAGGACTGCTGCAGACGCTCTGCGTGATGGCCGGGGGGGGGGACCTGGCTGAGTGTACAAGCCCTGCCTTCTCCCGTGTCATTCCAGATCCGACCACAACCTAAATCTTAAGTAATTTCAGCCCTTAATGTGATGTCTGTTGTCAGTGGAGGGGCGGGTGCGGCGGGAGAAGCATTTGAATGGGAGTCCGGCAACTATATTCAAGTAATTCTGAGGAGGAAAAAAAGCAGCTCAGGTTTCCCCACCTCTTTGTGCTTGTGTGCCAAGTGCCCCACCTCCCCTTTCCACAGCCCCCTCAAATGCAGTGAAGGCATCAGACAGCACAGGAGAAATGATTGGTCTTGCACCCTCTAAGCCCTTGTGGTGGCTGAACTCTTGATAAGGAAGGTCCTGGAACATCCAGTGTGTGTGGGGGTGTGGGTGGTGGTGGGGGCTGGACCAAAGAGATGAGGCCTCTCATCCAAGACCTTGCGAGAGACCACTCGGGGGGGGGGGGGACAGAAGCCCTCCCAGGCACACAAGGAGGCGCTTTGCATTCCGTAAGGCGCAGAGCAGCCGGCACTTTGGTTTTGCTTTGTGTCTTTCTGTGTGGCTCTAGAGCGGTAGTGGTGGGTCAATCGCTCCCACGCCCTGGGTCCTCAAGACTTAAATCGATTTCAGGCTATCCTTTGTGGCTCATCATCTGATGCTTGTAAAAATAAACACATTTTTACAAAACACACACGGGTTTAAGTATTCCCAAGCAAACCTCTTTCCCAAATGCTCTGCACAGCACATATAGTCTCGGCTTCTTTGAAACCAGCAAAAAAATCTGTGTTTTAAAATGAGACTTCTTCAGAAATCCTTCTCAGCCCGGAACTTCCTTGCAACCAGCATAAAACCCACGTGGGAAGCTGGCCTTTCCTTCTCCTGGAGCCAAGCAGAGCTAGATAAACATTCCAGATTCACAACAGATTTTCACCCCCTTTTGGGATGTGGTGGATTCCTGATGATTTCCAGTTCCTGGGCATCAGGCAGCAGACACAGAACCAGAAACTCGGCAAGCACAGGAGTCAAGCCACGCTCTAGAAGACGCTTCAAGCAAGCAAAGAAAGGCCTTTCTGTGGTGCTGGAGTGACACACCCTGTGTGTGTGTGTGTGGGGGGGGGTTTTGGTAAAACACAAACATACATTCAAGCAGATATGCTCCTGGACTCAAGAAGCTGATTTATTTGGTGCATCTGATTTTGGGGATAAAGGTCTGGAGCTTCACTGGGGAGTGGGGACAGGTGCAATATTCCTTCCTGCATGGTCTTTTTTTTTAAATCTTACCTGGGAGCCCTTGGCGGGTGTGTGCGCCACACTATTCTACTGCACTTTCCTTTGTAAAATAAACAACTCATGTGAAGAGTAATTTAAATTTGAGAGTAATGTGAACAAAATTAATAGCTGTGTTCTATCGCCCTTCCAAAGTGGATGCACTGAGCATCCAAGACCAGGGCCAAAATCAAAGACAACCCAAATTTCCATTTTCCGCCCCTGCCAAATTCTAAGACAACAACTGCGTTTAAGCCCAGAGCCCTTCCCTGGGAACTCAGAACAGCCACAATTAAGCATCAGGTGCCCCCAAAAGAGAATTGCTCGGGATGTTTCCCTCGATATTAAAATATCACGTCACCTTTTGATGCTTGTGTGCAAGAGTGAATACTTGTGCTGTGTCTTTGAGAAGTCAGCCACTGCTTCTGTTTTTCAAATAGAAACAAAACTCCCCTACTGTACTGACAAGCGATTCTATCTGCATGGCTAACAAAGAAACTAATAGTGTTTAAATACCCAGCCTTGAAGTGCACCCCGTTTACAGAAAGCGAGAGAGAGAGAGAGAGAGAGAGAGAGAGAAGGCAACTGACCAGCCCATCAGTGCAAGAACCCTGTGGAATCCCCACACCCTCTTGTTGCGGCAGAGGAGGAACGGTGCCTGTTGGCAGTACTCTAGCCTTGCTTTGGATGTGAGCACCGTTACTTTCCCTAACTGTGAAATGCAAACAGATCTGGCACTGGAGGGGACCTGAGGGCAACAAAAGGCCAAGCAAAGCGGCAGATTTAGGACTGTCCAACCGCCGCCAAGGTGCAGCAGCAAACACTGGAGTTCCTGGGCACAGAAGAAGCAGTAGCAACATCTGCTCCCCCGTCTCCCATGCATAATTTGGTTATTTTTTCATACTCCAATTGGACTGAAGAATTTGGGCCAAGTGGCTTTCACCAGGGCAAAAAGGACCAACAGTAGAAACTCCCGTCAGCAAAATGGCTTCTGACAAATTGCTGAAACACAGACAGGAGTTTAATATCCCAAAGGCAGAAAAGATTGCTTAGAAGAGACAGAAATTGTAAGGGCCCTTTGTGAAGAAGAAAAAAAATTATCCATCTTCTTCCTCTTTCCTACGACAGTGGGAGCCCTAGGAAAATGGTATGTGTGAGGGGGTGAGGATTGCATATCCCCCCCTCTTATGCACTTCTCTGCAACATATATCTCTCTCTCTCTCTCTCTCTCTCTCTCTCTCTCTCTCTCTCTCTCTCTCTCTCTCTCTCTGTGGACTCCAGGCCCTTTTCCTGTTAGCGGTAAAACGTCCAGGTATGGAATGTGGTGTGGAGAATGACGCCTGCATCATTCACAGGAAGCACACAGCCTGCTCTGTCCTTTGGCAGATCAACATGCAGTAAAGACTTTGCTCTGCTTTGCACTGGTGGGGGTGGGTGGGGGGACACCCTCTGCCCAGCCTCCAGCAGGAGCCCCTCCCCTGCATCAGTCCTTGGCAAGCCTCTCGCACCAAAACAGCCCTTTCCCCTTTTCTTGCTACTTGGCTTCCAGGTACCCTTAGAGCACTCGCTGGGAAATCCATTCACTCTAATTGGCTGAGTGGCGCCAAGGAGGTGCAAATCCTAATGCCATCACCACCACTACGTCTGGTATAAAGCGGAACTCGTTCCCCCGCTGTTCTCTAGGGCAAAGGATTTTGCCACACCCTCCGCATCTGCAAAGGACAAACCACGGTTTTCGAGGAACTCAGGCTGCGTGTGACGCCGGTCCCTTTCTAGCTCTATAAGCAGCTCTACAAACTCTCCCGGACCCCCTTCTCACCCCTGTGGAGCGGCTGGCCTCTGCCTAGAAGCGATTCACCGATAAGGGATCTTTCTTGCTCTCTCCTGTGCAGAGTCCCTTCCAATCAAGCGGCAAGACTGTCCCGAGTGGGTGGCGGGGGGGGGGCTTTGAGTGGTGACCCTCTGAGCCCGTAACTTGCACCCAATAAGGACACTCTGCCGAAACTTGCTTTTTAAGGGTAGCGGACTTGATTCTCACCGTCCTGCCTTGAGGACACCAGAGGACGGCGATCTCCACAGGGCGTGAGTGGCTGGCCACCTCTTGCGAAAGGGGGCTGTTGGGTGCATAATGAGTGCCAGAGAAGCATGGAAAAAACGGAGTGTCCCTGGATTGCGAAAGGCTGGGAACCATTGAGGGATATGACCCAGACCAGAGGAGGGGGAGCTGGG